ATATATATATATATATATATATATATATATATATATATATAATAATATGTAATAACAGTCATAATATATCTGTATGAGAATAATTTGTATTATTATAGTTCTAGGAAGCTGCTTCTATTCTAATCAACATAATCCAGATGAAACTACATTTAGGGAACAATTGATACAAAGCAATATAAAGTTAATACAAGTAGGAGAACCCATACGCAATCCTGTCTCTGTGCAACACATAAAATGGTTGGAACAGTGCTACAATGAAGGGCTAGTCAGAAGGCTAAATTTAGGTATTCTGTCTTTGATCTGGTTGGATAATTATGACAAAGATTGTTCCTCATACAAGGCTATCTGCTCTTACTTAAAACCACGATATATTACTTTCTATGAAAGAACAATAGATGTAGGCTTTTTAGAAAAGTGGTGGATATTAGATAGGAAGATGAAAAACTATGATGTAAATGAAGCTGAATTCCGTGTTGAAAAAACTATATAATATAGGTACTGTTTCAGCAACATGTTAAATTTTGATATGGGAAATGATTGTGTATGTGTGTACATATACACGATCATTATTTGTGTATGTATACAATATATATTTGCAGTAAATTAATAACTGGGATACAAAATATCTTAATATAAAATCTATCTAAGAATATTTGTTAAAATTGAATAAATTAAGAAATCATAATAAATCATCTTTCTTCTCTTAACAAAATATATTGATTTAATATAGAAAAAATTTTAAAATTTACCTAAAATATATTAATTTAATATGAAATAAAATAAATCGATGATCTCTGAGAGAATAAATACACCAGCATTTATTGTAATTCTTTTCTAATAAAAATCTAGTTTCTCAAAAGTTTTTTTTCAGGATTTATTACAATATATCTTTTTTACAAGTTTCTCCTAAATCTTCGTATACAAGATGTTCTATTGATTTTAACTTGAACATTGAAATATCTTTAAATGAATGAAAGATATGGAAAAAAATTTGAAGGGAAACATAAAAAGGGTACCATTGATTTGATATTGGGTGGCATTGTTAAGGTCACTTCACAGGGCAACATCACTTTGAATTTTTTAAATGGATTTTATTGCACATTATTATAATATTTTTGGATGTAAGCTACAAGGATATATAATAAAAAAATAGGGAATTCCATTTAAAAATTTCGAAGTAACCTTGCTCTAATACGGACAATACCATTCAAGGTCAAACCAATAAGTACTCTCTTATGTCCTTCAAACTTTACAACTTTTGAAAGATTTTTCCGTATCTTTTGTACATTTCAAGATATTTTCGTGTCCAAATTAAAATGGAACACTGTGTATGTATGCGCGCGCATGCGTGCATGTGTATGTAAATATATAAACATTTTATAGATTTGTTTTATGATATGAAAATATATTATATCTACATTTATTTATATTATTAGATAGATGTGACTCATCATTGTACAATTTTCAAACAGTCTTCAGTCACGAGACAACAGTTAACCATCTAAAATGTAATCAGTTTTATTAATATTAATTGAACAGTATTAATACGAAATGTATTGATTGTATTGTCGATACTTTACCAATTTGTGCGTAAACTAATGCTGTGCGGCGCGGAATGTAAATCATCATTTTGTTTGGATACGCAGAAAATGATTCTGGTTGCGTAAAATGTTGCACGTTTGTGTTTACACGACATTCTCCTCCAAATTGTTCATCGTCGCTGCACAAAACGATCTTGTACGTTCCTGGATTTTTTACACCGACCGGATAATCAGCGAACGACTTGACTGGATGAAAATTAAAGACGAATGTGAGATCACTTCGATCAAAGACGATCACTTTGTCATCTTCGTGCTTCCAGCTCACATAGCCCTATAAATTGAAATTTATCACTCTTGACTTTTTAAATTCCTTTAAATCTTTATTGTCGAATATCAAAATCACTCAAATAAATACAAACTTATAAAACTACTTACAGGATGAACATGTAACCATCCATCCCAAACAACACGAAGTCGACTGTTAGTCGACTGTTAGTCGGCAGACAAAGTCTAAAGTCGACTTTAAAGTCAGACTGAATGCCAACTTATAGCCGACTAATAGTCAACAAATGTCTCAGAAAGTCGAGCCATTCAGGATGACCAAATTCATTGCCTGCAAGATACGTATATAAGAGTATTTCTGATTGCTCACATTCTTATTCAATTTTGATTTGAATAAATTTTGATACATATCTTGAGATGCAATCGTTCACATAGTCATATATATAGTAAGAAATTAATCTAAAATTATCTATTATTTATTTATTACTCACCCATGAAGCTTAGATAAGCTTCGCCGCCCAAAGCATGCGTGATCAGCGTGATTAGATTGTGAAGGGCAATGCCACGAGAGATGATATCACTATGTGAACTTAAAGTACTCATGTGTGTATACATCTCTTTATCCATGAGCCAGAATGCAATCGTCTTATCACCAACGAGAGCCTGATCGTGAGACTCGGAGTAAGCGACCGCTTTCTCCATCCATCTTCGATTGGAGAGTGTCCAGCAAATGTCGCCAATCTTCCAGTCATCATCTTTTACCTCTTTTAACAATTTAATCCATTTGTCAGGAATTGCCATGGCTAAGCGGTAGTCAAATCCTATACCACCTTCGGTGACAGGCCTTGAGTATTTGCGAAATATTTATAAAATTATTTATATGTATAATATTTTTATCCGCTTTGATAATTCTCATCTGCTTTAATAAGTCTTGTACCTGCAAACACCTGGCATTCCACTAACATCTTCGGCAATTGTGACGATTTCAGAATATATTTCATGCAGCATATGGTTAGCAAGCATCAAATATATTATGCCTTCCACATCAACATTCAAACCGTAATATTCATCATAATGACCACTGAAACCTTGTCCCAAGCCTCTTGAGTGATACAACATTGATGTAACGCCATCAAATCTACCAAATAATTACAATTTCAATAAAATATTCTATTCTATCTTGTATGAAAGTCACAAAGTTTTGTACAATTATATCTATTTTTATAAAAAAAAATTAAATACCTGAATCCATCAAAACTATATTCCTCAATATACCAACGCAAATTGGATAATAGGAACCGAAGTACCTCATATTCTGCATAATTGAACAGCCTGCTATCCCACAGCGAGTGTTCGCCACGAGAACCGCTATGAAAAAAACATGCGTCTGTACCATCAAACATGTTCAGTCCATCCAAAGTATTTTTGGAAGCATGTGAATGGACCACATCCAGCAAAACATAGAGATTATGCTGATGTGCCACGTCCACTAGCTCTTTTAACTCTTCTGGATTTCCGTAGCGAGACGAAACCGCATAGAAGGAAGTCACCTTTAATTTTGAAAAAAGGCATAGAGCTGACACTTGTGTACACATATATCTAATTATATAATTAATTCTATACAATATGTTGTGTATAAATGTGTAACCTGATATCCAAAACTAGCGTAGTAAGCATGCTCCATGATCGCCATTACTTGTATCGCGTTGTATCCTTGCTTTACAATCCGTGGTATCACATCTCTAGCAAATTCCAAGTAGGTGCCAACGCGACATTCCTGGGTACCAATTCCAATGTGACATTCGTAAATTCTAAGACTCTTTGGTTTTTTTGGCTTGGGATGTTTGAACTTGTACACCTAGAAAAGAAACTTTATAAATCTTTTTGTCACATGCCGAAAGCACTTCTAGTGGTAACTATCTAATACATTTTCTGGATGCCATATACGTTGTTTGTAAGTAGTCCCTTCAGATTTATCTGGTTTCTGTGTTACATAAGTCGCCCAAGGACTCAATCTTTCAAGCAGCTCGTTATTGTGACTCTTGATAATGAGCTTTACTTCAGAGTTATGCTTCAAAGGACAACTGCCATCTGCATTTGGAGGCAGATGCAACTCCCATTTGCCATATTCTAATTTTTCATATGGTACAGCAGTTTTTTGCCAATTATCTATACAAAGAGAAACAATTGTACTAATTCAAATTAATCTGGATTTATAATATTAAATATTACATTAATACAATCATAAGAAAATAATACACACTAAACTCTCCAGTTAGAAATACTTGCTGTGCACCAGGTGCCCATTCCTTTGCAACAACACTATTGTCATCTTGGATATGAATACCAAAGCTCTCATATGCAGTAGTAAATTGTTTGAGGTCTCCATCTCCCTCTTCTATTTTTTCAACATAATCTTTAAACAGGGCATACCTGGAAAAGTAATGTAGCATTACCAGAATATTTTCAATGAGTTATTGTTAAGTACGACACGTCACAAAATAATGCAATTAGTGTGAATAAAATATAACCTTTATTTATCGCAAAAAATAAATAAATAAAAGTACCTTCGTCGAATATCACTTTCGTACTGCTTCAGATATGGATCCCTCTCGAGGAGGGTATTTATCTCGGGTACCTCAACTTGTGAGGGATCCATGCTGGACCACTTGCCACCCATGTTTCTACTAGGATATCTTATGCACAATTAATAAGATCGATAGCGTGATCGCGGCATGAACCGGCTGAAATTTGAATGTCAAATCAATGTCACAATCCCCTCTCCATCTTCGACGTTAATCAGTCAGTGTCTTTGACTATATAACCACCACACAGTTGCGCAACTTTTCGATTTTGTGAAGCCTAAAATGGAGTGCGCATGCGCGAAATGGGTAAGTTGCCCAGTAACGCCATCTAAACTTCTATCTCACTTGCTCTAGTTTCCTCTATCTCTCTGTTTCTTTCTAGCTGATAGATTATATCTAGGTTATATGATGTTTATGAACAGCAAATTAAATGTACAAAAATTAAAAGAAATAGATTTATAATTGAAATGCGTTGCAAAATAAAAAAAAATACAAAAATAAGAAAATATAAAATTATATAAATATTGTATAAATATTATACAGTAAAAATATTTTAAGGAGGCTCTATCGGTATTCCGACGTCAAATGAGGACTACGGAAAAGTGTGGAAAAAACTGCTTTTAACACTCATAAATCTTATTTCTAAAATTATAATTTTATTTAAGATGACTGTTAAATTGATTAATTTGAAGTGTACACAATGTATATTATTTATTAAGTAAAAAATACAAGACTTGGCTGAAGAGAGTAGTAACTTCTGAGGCTCTGAAGCGCATGTGCGTGAGCTCGCGACAACAGAAGCGTTATAACCTATACACTTTTTACAACTTATTTTTTTTTGCTTTAAATGATAAACGAGATCCTACACTTTCAATATATCAGTTTGTTATTTACTTCTTGACACATTCCGAAAAGATATATCTTTATAACTAATGAATTTTTCATATCCCTCATAAGACATGTGTATTAATCGGACTTTTCAAAAGCGTTTTTCCTGAGTTTGAAGTCGGCAACCCTACCTAAAAACTTTACCTAGGGCTTTAGCTACTTTTAAAGAACAATATTTATATTTTTTCATATTTTTCTAGTCACCTAACGATAGAACTTCCTTAATTTAGGATCGGCACACGATGCTTGTTTTCCTGCTAAATTGCTAGCGGTTTTTTTTTTTAAATTATTAGAATTGTACCACACAGAATTAACGCAGATTTTCTAGCTAAAACGTAAGTAATTCAACAGAAAAACACAAGCATCATTTTCCGCAGGTTAAAATATTAATATAAACAATAAAATTTACTGTTATTTATATTATTATTACAGATTACGTTTAAGAAAACAATACTATATAATTATTGTAATTATAAAAGTATCTAATAATAATTTTATGAAATAAAATCTGTAATAATATATACATATAACACCGAACTTATATCCCAGAGCTCTGATTGGACGGATCATTATTCCCTGTTGCCTGTGCCTATAACCTTTTCATCGCAAGCAAAAAATTGTGCGCCTGCGCAAACAAACCTAGCCTCACCTGGTGGACTTTCGTACACTTTTCGTAAAAATACACGTGAAAAGATCGATTACTATTAAAAAAAGTTTTCTTAATTATGGCAAGCACAAATTATAGAAAAGGAACAACAAAACGTTGCTGTTATGGTTTATGCAAAAGTGACAAACGCTTAAAAAGTTTTAAAACTGATAATTATTATTTTATCTCGTTTCCCAAACCGTGCCTGTCATTTATTTTAAATAGAGTTATTATTTTAAATAGAAATAAGGGTAATGTCGAAACAAAGCAATTAAAAAATCACACGAAAAATTGTGATAAATGCAATAAATGCAGTATATGGGTGAGAGCATGTGGTCGTCCTACTCCGTTTAACAACATTAGGTCTGTTCGCGTTGCTTGCACTTTTTGCACTTACCATCTTCGCTTTCTTTCTTTTTAAAGCCGAATATACATCTATCTCACTTTAAGTGCAAAATTATTTGGGGATTTCATGCAACGCGAACAGACCTATTAAATATATTAAAAAAGATACGTTATGTTCGTTGCATTTCCATGGGGAAAGTGGACCATCTGACGAGTATGTACCCGGAACCTATTCCTTTTTATAAAATATTATTAATAATATTTTATAATATATAATCATATTGTTTTATAGGACGTATTAAAAATATAAAAGACTAAATAATCTCTCAACTAATTCGCATTTTTTCCCGTTTGTTTTTTGCTTCCTACATTTCGACCATCTTTTTAATTGCTCTACGCTGTGTTCTTGAACTGAATTATAAATTAACACAGCACCAGGAACATCAAGAGGGGAAATATTTGCTTTTACGAATGGAAATGATGAAGCCATAATGTAAAGTGTACAAAACTGTACGAAACTTTTAACTTTCCCGGACTTGGTCGATCCCCCTACCCATGTTTGCGTCTGCGCATTTCGAACTATGAAAAGGTCTATTTTTTAAATATGGTATGCTGATTGGGTAGCACGGCGCTAGTGCTGCACCAGTTTTCCCAGTGGAAAACGCTATTAGGGAATCACGCGATGTGAGTTGGTTCACATTTTCACCAAGTTAGAAATTAGAGAATCGATACCCAGTATTCAATTCAATTCAACTCGCTATCTCGCTGTAACCTCTCGACTGTGTCGAGATATGTCATGATTGTGTCATGAATGTTATGATACTTGATGCAAGAAAACAAATGATTAAAAGATTTGTAAGGAGGAAGGTTTTAACCAATTTATCGCTTTCTTTTTAATTGCCTAAATGGATACACAAACGGATAACGATTTACCGCGGCCGCAAATAACTTTGCGAAACATGAATTCTGGCAATGTATTCTATATGCCTTTAACATCATTTGCAGGTAAACAATCGCCCGAGTACGCGTGCATTTGTGATTTGGACTGAACTTCTATTTAAAAAGCAGTGCTTTCTAACAAAAAAAAAAACAAAGTGTTACACAAGTAAAATTTTATTTCTGTTTTTAACATTAGCAAATAAAAAAGATGTAATAATTCATCGTGGATGTTTTTCATTTCACAAGTCGGTACAAACGTCATTCTGTCTCGTTCTGTCTGTTATTTAATGACTATATCAAACGATTTTTATGTCAATTATATCTCCTAAAAGGAAAATAGCTGAATGCTGTACAATATTTGTATTGTCAAGTGGAACACATCCTTAATTTATTTTCTCTCAATTCAATTGATAGACTCAACTGTGACAAAATTCCAATTATATACAGCTCATTGTCCTTGATCCATCTGTTAAATAATGAAGAATTGATCATTCCATTTCTAACAAAGGAACTAATGGATTGGTTTAATTTAAGTATGATCAGTCATCCTATATAAATTTCTTTGTTATCAATCTCAATGTCTCTATTTTTCAGAGATGTGGTATCAAATATTTCTCTGGGCATTGTTCTCCTCAATATTTGTACATACGATTGCTGGTGCAATTTGTTTTGCTACTTTGCGACAGCACAAATACGGCAAGTATGTAACTTATAGTTTATCTGTGAAACAGTCTATTCACAATGTTACCTATCACAATATTACCTATATTTACAGATTCTTTCCATTGCTTATTATAATAATGGGTGTACTATTGCCACTGACGTCAGGTGTCGTCAGTTCTGCAGCAGTTGCCTTTGTATATAGAGCGTCCGGCTATCAAATGCCACCTTTATATGCATTGTTTTGGGGTATTGGGCAGACTGTGGTACCAGTGTGTATTGGATTTACACGAATCTTGGCAACTTTGTAACTTATTGTTACAAATACTGTACTTGTGATATTTGTGACGTGTACATAAGGAAAGGAGTCAAGTGTTTTTTTTTTAAATTATACATATGTACATATATAGGTAAGTCTATCATTGTTAGGATATAGTTGTATTCAGGGTTGGCAAGTAACGCGTTATTTGTAATGTCGTTACCGTTACAAGTTACTTTTTTTTGGTAACAAATTAGGTAACAATGTTACATTTTCTTCGGAGTAACATTCATAATAACGCAGTTACATTTTTGGGATAATGGTAATGATTTCATTAGTTACTATTATCGTTACTTTTATTTCTAGCATAAAAGTTTTTGGGGTAATTCTGATTGACTCTCTTAATCACAATTATGACGTCTTTTTTCACATTGTATTCACAGTTTACACATATAGGCTGCGTTCCGTTTCACGCATGATGTATCATTTTAATTTAACATTCGGTAAACAACAAGGATAAAATGATGTATTATATGATATACCCTATTTCTTGTAATTTTTGTATATTTTAAGAAATTAATATACCATAAAGATTTACATGCATATATATGTATACATACATACACACATATATATATATATATGTATATTTACAGGGTGTCCAGGAAAGAAACAAACAACGCTTAAGGGGAGATTCTTGAGATCATTTTGAGACGAAAATTCTAATACCAAAAAATGTTGAGACTATAATAACTTTTGAATTATAAGCGTTTAAAATTAACAAATCATATTGTCTAAAGTCGCCGCGTTCAAGAACAGCACAATGCAAAGTATTAAACACGAAAGTTAACTTATCGGAAATTGTTCTGCATATCTGCGCACAACTTCACAACTCTCTTTATGCGTAAGAAATGTACATTTAAATATTAAATCTTATAGGACCTTACATGTGAGAAACACAACCAATAAGAAAATGCCTTTAACGGTTGAGCTGGATCTTAGGTGCTAATTATAATTCAGTGTAAATTTATATATTACGTATGTAATCTTTTAAACCGCGTGTGGAACAATTTTTCAGTTTTGAAACGCCATTCTACGCAAATACGAAACTATCGCAATAATATCATGAGTTAAGTTATCTAACAATTTAACAATTTTGATGCTCATAGCATCTTGGATCTTAATAATGTTGAACGACATTAAAATTTATGAAATGAAAATCTATAAATAATTAATTTATATTGCGAAAAATATTACCTCGGCCGGGAGTCAAACCTGGATTCTCTTACATTCCGTACGAGAATCCTATCAGTTAGACCACCGAGGCCTTGCAAAGGTTAATTTTAAATGCTTATAATTCAAAAGTTACTATAGCTTCAACATTTTGGTATTAGAATTTTTGTTTCAAAATGATCTCAAGAATCTCCCCTTAAGCGTTCGTCCTTTCCGAAACACCTAGTATATAATATTATATATTGTATGTATATAATTAATATATATATACATATATATATAATATATATATATACATATATATATAATATATATGTGTATCTGACTTTTGTGTTCCATAAAAACGTGTCAACTTAAACAATATTTTTTTATATTTTATTTTTGAGCAGGTACATTTATTAACATTAACTAGCAGATACGTTTGTTACTATTATAAAACAAAATAATAAAATATACTTGATTATTATATTTTGGTATTTTGTCACTCACCAAAAATTACTATATAACACGGAAAAATGGAACATGATGCATTTTTATTTTGAGGCTGCATACTCATGCAGCAGAATAGCGTAAACTCCCGGTAGTATAACTGTAATTACGATTTAAATCTATTTTCGAAATTATTTTTCCGAGAAACTCTGGGAGATTAAAATTTTTTTTTCTCCAGAATTTCAGTTTTCTATATTTCTTTCTCTTCTTCTTTAATTAGTTATATTAGTGTGTTCTGTAAAATGAAATTGACATCAGATTTTATTTCTCGGTGATGGGGGAGCTCACTGTGGTTAAACATCTTTTGATCCTTTATGTTATTTTTAATTTATAATTTATTTATGTAATTTACATTATCTCTCTGAAGAAGGTTAAAAAATGAGCCGAAACATATAAGCACAATTATTGTAATAAATAGGTTTTGCTTGATATATCATATATCAGAGTTTGCGTAAATTTATCTTTGTGTTGACTTGTGTCATCAAGCATATAGAATGACAAATGTAATGTTTGAATACACTCTAAAAGCCAGTTGTTTCACTTTTCAGTATGTTGTCACTTTACCTATTAGGTAAATTCATGTATGTGATTGGATAATCTTAATACTTACCTAACAGGTAAAATTTACTGATAGAACAATTGATCCTAGATGGAAGAAACTGAAGTATGAGAGAATTTGTAATAAGAAACAAATATACTTATTTATTGAATATTGCAGAGTGTCATAATTATTGCATATATCAATAAAGTTAGTCCGATACTTTTGTATTATTAACATACATATCCTATCAATTTTATTATAAAGTATAATGTTAATTAATATCATATAACAAATATTATAGATCTAGATTATATTACATTATTTGTATTATACAGCCATTTGTGCAATCCTCTTCAAGACTTGTCCATTTTTACATGGTGCTTGAAATTGTTTGCAATATTTTTTATATCTATTAATCCTTCCTCCAAGGTCTTGAAGGCTTCCATTTTTGTGTTTTCATCAGAAGTGCTTAGCAAATTGAGTACTAAATCTAAAAAAAGTTAATTATTAATATAATATAAAGCTCTTTCAGTATAAAAGTTAATTATGTTTTTTTTTAAGTGATTATTTTGTACTTTGTTATATGTATATGTATATAAAGCTTTTGTTTAAGGGCTATCTCATTATAAATCGTTACATACCATGATATCTAGAAAGGGCCAACATTGTATTGGGATTTTTTTTTTAAGTGATTATTTTGTACTTTGTTATATGTATATGTATATAAAGCTTTTGTTTGAGGGCTATCTCATTATAAATCGTTACATACCATGATATCTAGAAAGGGCCAACATTGTATTGGGTTCTAGTTGCTCTTGAAGGAAGGCGAGAACGGTTGTTACATGTCTGCCAGACATATGTAAAGCGTTTTGCGTAACAGCGGTGAAAAGCACGCTTGTAACTAGGTGCAATGTCAATGCAGGATCTTGCGTAGCATTCAGCTCCTCTAGCAGAGCTTCTCTGTGAGCGTATATCTGTAGTCGATCCTTTTTTTTATCGTACTTTTTCAAAACCAAACAACAAGCTGCCATTGCTCTGTCAACGTTGTTCAAAAAATCTTCCACTGAATCTCCCATTATGGTTTTATGGATAACGGTTAATGGCTCTTTGACATCTGCAGGTAATTCAAGCAACAGTCTTTGCCTTGTCTCTGTCGTGAGATTTTGCGCTACTTGCAGCATATTTTGTTGAGCAACCAATTTGAATATACTTGTTACAAAATCAAGGCCTAGAGATTTGAGCAAGTATTTAGTCAGCGGAGCTTGATCCGCTTTGTGCAGATGTTTAATACCCTTATCGAATATTCGAATGTTCGTTATTAGAATGTTTAGGCGTTCGCCAATTTCGCTCAGATTAGTAGTCTTGTTGGATTGTGCCAATTGCTCCGCCAATGTTAATGCGGACTTGTTCAGTTTTGGTTGCAAATAGCACGCTAATTCGTTTGCCATTTCTTCGATAATGTTATCATCTTTCATAATTTTTGTCTTTACTTCTTCCATGGTGATCAATGTAATCTCATCTTTTCCGACTGCTGTTTGCCTCGTCTCATTTTCGTCAGAATCATTTTCCTGCATCTTTGCTTGAAGATATTTCTTCTTTGTAGACTTGGTCTTGGTTTCTCTGCCTTGACTACCGCCACCTGTTTTACCAATAGCTGCCTTTTTTCTTCGTTCTTCTTTTTTAGTCACTTTGCTGTCAACAATTAAATCCGCCGATTTAGATTTTAATTTATTTTCAGTAATAGATTGGATCCATTTTCCGCTAGCTACTATGTCATGAGCCTTTTGTTTCGATACTGTTTCAAGAGATTTAGTTAAAGCTTGTAAAAACGTCTCAGAAACAATAACTGTCTTTGCAAATGTATGCACATTGACCCTTATTTTCTTCGTAGCTAATTTGATGATAAGTTCCACATCTTCATCACTAAATACAGATGGTAAAAGGGGACATAAGTCAATGAAAGATCCGGTCGCAACAACCTCTTCGATATTGGCGTCGACTTGATCCGTTATGACCGTTCCTACAGCTACTGACTTTAAAAAAACCATGTTCTCATTCGGAAAGTGACGTTTTATAAAACCTGATGGATCTGATATTCCGAGTCTTGTAAGGGCGTCATATTCTGTAAAATAAGAATATATTGAATCACGCGGGATACAAAAATATCTTAGAAATTTCTGTAGATCGCATATTTTACCTAAATATCCATTTTGCTTGTAAAAATTTTCAACCCACTCATTTTGACTTTTAGAGTATATAGTAGGTATGTAAATACTATTTCCACTCTGTTTCCCAGTTACAATTCCTGGCACTTGTTTTACTTCTTGCAAGCTGTCCAGAATTGCTGCAATACATATTTTATATACATATGTACACACACATACACATAGATATAAAGAAATTAATATGATACTAAGTAATAGAAGTTTGCAGATAACAAACAAACTATTTTGATGAATATAATAGCCTAATATTATTAAGTGGAATTTAATAATATAGAAAAAAAAATAGTAACTTGTGTAGACATTGAAAACTTACTACTTTCATGTTACTATTTTTATTAGGGATGTAACAAAAGTGGCATTATAGCGAAAGCGAATGCGAAAACGAAAGAAAAAAAATTTTTTTGCGAATGCGAAAGATCTTTTTTTTCTGCTGAATGATTAAATCAGCCACAATTACTGACAGTCACGAAAAATAATATATAATATTTAAAAAATATTGCTAATTCCTATTTCAAATTATTGAATGATGGATTGAAAAAGATGAATGCAAATGTGTAAATTAGTATTTGCATATGAACGACTTATTTATT